TAAATGTTTTATTACATTTTATTTTATGTACAAGTGTATATGTGTGGGTGCATGAATGGCCTGACATGTATGTGGACATCAGAGGACAACTTGCAAGAGTCAGTTCTCTCTTTCTATTATGTGAATCCCAGGGATCCAACTCCAGTGGTGAGGTGTGGTAGCAGGCTCCTTTACCTCCTGAGCCATTTCACCAGCCCATTATGAGCTGCTTTTGATCTTAAGTTTTGTTGAAAATTCATATGCTGTTAGTCACTTGACCTGTGCATAAGACAATAACTAGTACCAGAAACCTACTTGATGCTAGGCAGTATTCAGATTATTCATGCTTTCTGGATTTAAAATTTTGAATCGAATGAAATAGAGTAAATGGGCATTTATACTCCAGCACATAGCCACAGGAGTATTATCTCATTACTCCCACAAGCTAAACCAAGTGGAAATGAGTCACTGCTTGGCTGAATCGTGTTCTGGGAACACCCACATTAGACTGAAACTCAGGTTTGATGGTCATTTCTCTGAGTCATATCTAAGTTGGCATTATGAACTCATAACAAGAACATGTTCAATTTCTCATAAGAACCTGGGATAACTGCTTCACCTGGAGAGGGCAGGTATTCCACTCCAGGAAATTTTACTTTGCTTATTGGAGCCCACCTTTAATACTAAAGACCTCTAAATATTATGACGTTCTGCTTATTATTTTTCAAGGTGTTTTTATGCTATGGACAAGAAATAGTCTCAACCAGGCATAGTGATACAAATCTGTAAGAGTGAAAATTGTGAATTGGCAGTTAAACCGGGCAACATAGCAACAACATTGAAGACTGTCAGAAGAAAGGTGGGCCAGAGAGAAGTGAGAGGGAGGGTTGGAGGGAGGGAGGGAGGGGAGGAGGAAAGGAGGGAGGGAGAGCATGTACCAACCCAGATTGTTAAGATGGGGTAAATGAAACCTCTCAAAGCTGGAACAAGAATTTATTCTCATTATCACATAAACTGAATTTTAATTTCTAGACTGGATAAAAAGCAGAATGAAAATGAACAAAAAACCCACAGGAACTAATTTCAAGTTTCCAAAGCATTTTTGGTTGATGACAGTCTGGTCAGAAGGTAGATATGAGTAGTGTTCTCCTAAACACAGGACCAAGGCGTGCTTTTGAAAGGACACCTTAGGACAGTAACAACCAGGGAAAGGCAGAGCTACAGTGAACTTTCCTTCCAGCACTGAAAGGCATATTAAGTCAGGATTCTCTCTTTCCACGTTGGTCCGCACAGCTGCCATTACTGGCATTTTGAATGGATGAACTGACTTCTGTTGTCTCTATGGCAGAGTATGACACCAGGATACAGTCCCCGTTTGACACATTAAGACCCTTTGACACGTTGTACAGTTAGATTTTCCTTGGGAATTCTCCCATCCTTGAAGGCCTAAGTGAGACTGGTTTGAGCCCTCATTTCGTATCTAGAAAATTCTTCTGCCCTCTCCAAGATTCATCAGAATATCTAAAAATCTTACATTTTAGTAGCCACCCCCTAAATGCAATGCTCCACCTGCTACTGAAATCTTCCAGATGTGGTAGCACACAACTGTAATCTCAACACTTGCAAGGTGGAGATGTCAGGAACAGGGGTTCAGTGTCACTCCTTGATATGTAGTGACCCAAGACCAACCTAAGCTACATGGAAACCTCTGTTTAAAAAAAAAAAACTAAAAAAAATAGACGTAGAGAAACTGGAGCACAGAAATGTTAACTAATGATGTCTAGCCTCACTCTCTGAGAAGAGAGCTGATTCTTGAGCCCAGAGCCAAAATAGAAATGGGGCCGAGGACACAGCTCTGTGGGTAAGAGCTCTTGTTGTACAAACACAATGACTCCAGTTCAGATCCCCAGGACATACATAAAAAGCTGTACATGGCCGTGTGCATGTATGTAACTCTAGCCCTGTGGAAGAGAGACGGGGAAAGCAGGGGGAGGGGGCCTTGCTGGACTCCAGCCTAGTTTCCAAGTTCAGTGAGAAACACTGCGAACAAGAGTTTACCACGCACATTGTTCACATACACCATATACACTTACCAACACACACACACACACACACACACCAACAAAAAAAAAGTAGGAATGATATGTGGACCAAAAACTTAAGTCTTTCTGTAACTAGAGATATTTTGTGAGAGAAGGTTAGGGTTTAATTTGTGATTCACATGAAGAAATACAACATGACAGTTATTACCAATAGCTAAAGCATTTGCTGGTAATATCATCATCTCCCTGGTATCTTGATATTTGCCAGTGCCTTCTGAGGAGTGTTCTGTGTATGATGTTCAACATTGCACATTTATTCTCATGTGTAATCTACAAAACAACCCAGATAATCCAACACTATTACTATTATTACATTTACTACTATTACATTTTGTAGATGGAGACAATGAGGCTCATGGAGGTTAAGTGGTCTGCTGTTGTCTGTCTGCATTTGGCTGGTAAGCAATGAAATGGGCATTGAGTCCATGATGCCCAGCTCCAGAACCCAAAGAACTTCTTGCAGCTTACTTCTGCTCTCTCATGCTTCCACCATGATCTGTCTGTTGGTTCATGCAGACTTCATTCTGATGCCACAGAGGCTGCAAATGACTTAGCCACATTAACTAGTCGCTCCCATTAAACATCTGCTAAAGCTGATTTTCACTACATGCGTATTCCACGTTTTCAAATTTTGCTAAAATTTATGTTAACTAAAGTCCATACTGACAGCACTTCCACATCCATATCTAGGAGTGTGCAGAGAGAATGACTTTGAGTTGCCAAAGGAGAGGGAGAGCAGAGTAACTCTTGCCTTCATGTTTTTGCTCCCGTATTGTAAATAAGTGTCCTTTCTGAAGTGTATGTAGCGACTCCTTTTTCATTTTTTTTCACTTCCTGTTGATTTGCTGTTTAAAATGGTCACCATGGACAGTACTGAAGTTCTTTCTGCTGTTTAAGAGCATGAGTAGGTTACCACATCCCCCATGAAGAAAATACTTATGTGAGCTGGTAAGCATGAATTATGCTACTGACCATAATTTCAATGCTAATGAATCAAAAATATGTATTAAATTAGGTATCATTAAATAGAAGTACACATAAAATAAGGTTATCTATTGATGATAAAAATGTGAACATAGGTTCACAAGACCCTAAGGGTATATTTTCCCTTACAGGCAACGTTCCAGAATTTACTAATTTGATATTGTGATTTTTTTAACATAATGACCATGATGAATGAGAATCAATTCTATTTCAACATATCTTGCCAAAGCTTTTTTAACTAAGGTGGCAGTGCCCTAGGAAGTACCCAAAGAAGCTCGGTGTCCTCCCTTGAAGGATCGCTGAGAAACTGGGTCTTCAGGGGTTTGTGGCTCAGCCCCTGGAAGCCCTTCCTGACCAACATGCCACACCTCCTGAGCAGCAATCCCTGCAGTTGCTCACCCTCTACAGAGGAGAACCTGGTTAATCAGAAAAGAAACTCCCTTCAAAGGCAAACAGTGAGTAGAGTGTACATATGGTGGAAAACAAATGGCTCTTGGTACCATGTTGTGGAAATTATCTCGCTTAGGTAGATAAAGAAGCAAGGCCAGCCCAGGTGGCACTGGTGAGTCCCCCCTCCATTACACGGTCCATTTGTGACGTGTGCACCAGCCTCTGAGAAAACGCCATCCCTACACTCGGTGCCCTCAGAACCTGTCTGTCTTTTTTGTCCTCCGAGTTTGTGTGGGCATTCTTCTCCATCATGTCTGTAACTGCCTGCCAGGGCTTGGGGTTTGTGGTGTCGCTGATCGGGTTGGCAGGCATCATTGCAGCCACTTGTATGGACCAGTGGAGCACCCAGGACTTATACAACAACCCAGTGACAGCTGTATTCAACTTCCAAGGGCTATGGCGCTCCTGTGTCCGAGAGAGCTCCGGCTTCACGGAGTGCCGAGGCTACTTCACCCTGCTGGGGTTGCCAGGTAAGGACCGGGTGCCTGGCTCGTAAGGTGGATGGGGTAGAGAAGAGGGATCAGCCTGTACCTGAGACCCCAAGAGAGGGTCCAAGAAGCCAGAGAAACTAATATTCAATCTTGACAAGAGCAATAGCCCCTACCACTGTGGTTGGAATGGAAATATAGGGAGAGGAACTTTCTGGAGCTGTTGGCATGTCTGTTCCTTTAGTCATTGGTGTCCAGTTCCTCCAAGGACACATTTTTCTAATTGTTTTTACCTGAGCAAGGGCAGAGTCTCCATTACCCTCAAGAACAAGACACAGGAGACCCAGACACTTGCCACTTTCTCCTTTTAGAGCCAAGAGCCCCCTTGCTGGGACAGAGACCACATAGCTCCTGGACAGACTCTGAATCCAGGCCTCCTGTGCCCACTCCAGCTTTCAGGAATTCTGAAGCTAGCAGCAAGAATGGAAACGGAGCCATGGAAAAGACCTGAAAGAAAGACGCAGGGTTCTCAGCATTGCATGGGAGGGGCCTGTGCTTGGCGGTGGGAAAGGCTCTGACCTCCAGGTGCCTGACCTCCAGAAAGTATTGCCCTCAAAGAGCAAGACTCTAGAACCTCTCAACACAAGAATGTATACCTGGCAAATGAGTTCTGCTGTGAGGGAAAGGTGTTGTGGACAGCCAAGGCCCTTCCCCATGTTTGCAGGTTAACCACACAAGATTGGGAGGGGGTGTTTGTTTGTTTGTTTGTTTTCATTTAGTGGATTGGTCATTTCAACTTGAAGAGAACTTCAAGTCAGAAGAGAATGTTGAAAGTGTCTTTTGCTCATTCAATTGAGTAAGAAAAAGAGTGAACATGACATTTTAATATTGCTTATTTGTTCCTTCCATAGATATACTTACTATGTCTTACTAGGAGAATTCATCTAAGATGAGTATTATAGGAAGGATCAGAGATAGCATGGAGTTTTCCCCAGGTGGGACTTGCCATTTGACCACAAGGTCAAGATTTAGACACCCAGAAAGGAAGCAAGAGAAGATGGCAGTTATGTGGAGATTTGTCCCTTCATAGATTCCCTATCTGTATGTGGAGTGATCCCAACTGTTGATGCTTTGACCCTATTTGAGTGGGTTGTTTTACAAAAAGTCTGTGGCCATAAGATGTCTGAGACCTAGTGCTTCCTTGTAATGGGCTTGCTCATCTGAGGAAAGGCTGCCATGGCATTCCTGAAATCTAGCTCCAATGGCTACATCAACACAGTTATTTCTGGGATTAAATGGATAAAGTTCTTTACTCTGTATTTCTGTTTGTAAGTGCTGCAATCGAGTATGTGCAAAAGTGGGATGTGAAATGCAAGCAAGCAGCACCAATAGACGGACTGCTAGACATGAGCCTTCAAGCTTGGAGCCCCGGTACCACTGGGTGAGGAGAAGTCCCTCCAGCCATTTTGCTCATTAGCAATTGAGGATATCAGCTGGCTGACCCGGGTAGAAATACTGGGAGCAGCAGAAACACCAACTGTGTGTAGCTAGCCAGAGAACCTAGGACATGACTGAGTTTCTTTTTCCTTGTCCTTGAAATGAAAGCAACGATGTTTTAAAATTTCTACTGGGAATGCAAAGATAGATTCTCAGGCTCAGCAAGAAACAGTCATACTCAACACAACCCTCCAGAGCAGTGGTTCTCAATGTTCCTGATGCTGAGAACTTTTAATATGGTTCTCCATGTTGTGGTGACCCCAAATATAAAATTATTTTCATTGCTACGTCATAACTGTAATTTTGCTACTGTTATGAATTGTAATGTAATTATCTGTGACTTCTGATGGTCTTACACCTAATGACCCCAGTGAAAGGGTCATTCATCCCAAAGGGTTGCAACCCACGGGTTGAGAACTTCTTCTCCAGAAGCATTCTGGGCATAGGACTGCCAGTTTCCTTCCTAGAACAAGAGGCATTCAACTAGGCTCACAGCCAGAGGTCAACCTGTTCCAAAATGACAAGGTTCCTTCTTGGGGGAAGAAAAAACAAAGCCCTTTGATTCCCTCTCCCAAATGTAAATCATAGGGGACTAAACAATGATGTAGAAATTGTGGCATTAAAAGAAATATTTATTTATTCAATGAACATTTGCTGGGCTTTCTGGGTGAGGGTAACAATTATCAAGGTGCTTGAAAATCTAGAGATAGTCAGAAAATAGACCATTATCATATCAATACCTATGGGTGTATATTTCTCTTGAGGGTCATCCTATGAGTTTTAGTATACTTTACTCATTAGGTGGAAATAGCATTGTCTCCTAAGTCTATTTGTCACTACCAAAAATGTCTCCTGACATTTCCAAATATCGATGGGGGTGAGGGGTTATCTCTGGTAAGGAACCACAGGGACATGTACAAACCATCAAGCAGACACCATAGAGGAAAGCTACATGGATGAGATACTCTAGTTAAAGGACACAAAACAGAACAAAGATGTCTGTGACAAGGGGATTTGTAGGAAGTGGCGACAGGGATGGAGACAGTGAGAGCAAACAGAAACGATTAATTTTTTTTTTTTTGATTTTTGATTTTTTTGAAACAGGATCTCACTACATAGCCTTGGCTGGTCTGGAACCCCAATGTAGACTAGACTAGCCTCAAAGTTGTAGAGATCTGCTTGCCTGATATATATGAAAATATCAAACAAATAAATTTAACTGATGAAAAATGACAATCCAAAATGCTTAACATACAACTACTGTAATAGTCCTTTTTATGCTTTGTATGTTATCATTTTTAAAAGTTTGGGTCATGTGTGTTAAATTTGTGTAATCATACTTGTAGTGAGCTATTTCATAGGGATATATTAAAGACAATTCATTTCTAGAAGAGAGAAACAAAAGAAGACAGAGAGGCAAAGGGTTTTCCAAACAGAGAAAGCCCTACCTGAGTACAGACAGCGTGGTGTGAGAGAATGGAAAGAGCCAGGCTCTGTGTGACCGAGGTTAGGGAAGGAGGAGCCACACAGTGCAGCCTGGAGAGTAACACCCATGACAGTTGACAAGAGTCCAAAGGAAAAAGGAAAAAAGGTCAAGCCCAGAGACATTTCCTAAGGTCTTCAGATTTTTTTTTTGCCTCCAACTAACAGTATATAACAATAATGGATGTTTCAGTCCTTGCTGTGTGCTTGGCAATATTTTAAGAAATCAATATATATTAGTATATATTTTACATTATTATATATTTATAGAATTCAATGGCTTGTAGTTTAATGCTTTCAATAATCCTCTGTGGTGAAAACTGTTGTTTCCTCCACTTCTCAGACTGAGGGAACTGAGACACAAAGAGGTTAAAGAATTTGCTAAGCGGCCATGCAATATAAATGGCAGCCAGGGTTCCACCAAGCTGGCTTTCCACAGAGCCTGGGCCCCTCTTCAGTACAGGAGTTCTAACCAAAGGCTCAGGAGTATTTGACAGAGTGCTTATCAATAAGAAGATGCAAGTGAGAAATGTTTGACTTCTTGTTTAAGAACAATGAAGTAGTGGTCTTACTCTACCAGATAGTCAACCCAATTCTAACACTTGGATAATTAAAGTTGTGTTCTGCCACAAAGATGAACAGATTAATGGGAAAAAAACTAAAATTAGAACAACAGAAAAGTGAGTTTCATGTGAGGTACAGGAGGCTTTATTTGGAGGAAAGGAAGGCTATTCAAAAATACTGCAGAAATTATTGAGTGGGTTTCATGGGAAGAAAAATACATTAACTACTTTGTAAATATTTTTAATTACAAAATAATTTATAATGTTTCCCCCTACATGGAAAATATTTTCTAAGGATGAAAACAATGTTGGAAAGCATAAAAGGAAAATAAATAAATGCATTTGACTACATTATTCAACAAATACTTATTGAGCACATTTTATGTGCCAGATACTAGAAAACCCATAAAAGGGAATACATTGTATTTTTTGCCAAAACTGTAAATGAATCTAAAAACCCAGTAACCAATCAAAAGCATGATTGTTGTACTTACTGCTATGTGTTACTATAATTAACAAATAGTTCACACAAATTGATGGTAAAAGATATTAAAGTGCTAGTGAATGGACTGATAAACAGTGCAGGCTGCTAACGCAAGAAAGAAAATAATCTTCATCACTATTTTGTTGTTGTTATGACTTTTTTTGAGACAGGGTCTCACTATGTGGCTCTGACTGGCTTAGAACGTGCTTTCTTTGTAAACCATACTGGTCTTGAACTCACTGTGCACCTGCCTCTACCCTCACCCCCACTTAAAGTGTGCTTCATCACACCCAACCCATAAGTTTTTGGTTTTTTGGTTTGTTTGGTTTTTTGTTTTTTTTTTTTTTTAAGGAAAAACAAAACTCAAACCTTCAGGGTCTTGGGGCCAGTAGCATGCATGCCTCAGGAGTAAAAGTGCATGCTGTGTAAGTATTGTTGACCCGAGTTCAACCCTTAGGTTTCAAGTTGGAAGGAGAGAGCTGACAGTGACTTCTGTAAGTTGTCCTCTGACCACCAGAAGTACACCGTGTGTACACACACACACACATACACACACACACACACACACACACACACACACACACCACATTAATAAATAAAATTAAAAAAACTTTTAAGTGCTCAAACTCAGTGGGTAATAAATTAAAACAAATGTAGGTAAGGATATAGAACTATATTTTCCATCTTATTTTTATTTTATATGTATGGATGTTTTGCCTGCATGTGTGTCCATGCACTGTGTGCTTGCAGTGGCCTCTGAGGCCAGAACAGGGTATCAAGTCCCCTGAAACTGGAGTTACAGACAATTGGGAACCACAGTGTGGGCTCTGGGAATTGAACCCTGGCCCTCTGGAAGAGTAGCTGGTGCTCTTAACCATAGAACCATCTCTCCAGCCCCTAGAACAATCTTTTTAAATACTGATGCTGGGAATAAACTTTATAGAAAATGTTATTCCGCATAAAGGAGATATTATTTCAATACTTCACATTCTTTGACAATTAAGTTCTCCTATGAA